GATTTTAAACTTACTTTTAGTTTAATACAATATTTTCACAGTGGTAGGGCAAAATATTTGATTAATTTGATTTTTACAGGACTAAATATTGGGCATGAAACCTACGCTATATCTGATACTCTCCATTTGGAATCCCCCAGTTAAATTCAAGTTTATGGAAAACATTGCTTTTAATTTTGCCCATATTACACTATTTTCTGATCTATGTTATAATGCTGTTTCTTCATCAAAAACATATCTGGAGTTGTGTTTTGTTTCATTCACACAAGTTTAACACACAGACTTTGCATTTAGGCTGAGTTGTTCTCTCAAACATACTCCACTGTATTTTTAAATGCCATACATTTTTGCTAAAATCTTGCATTTATTTAATAACAGGTGCCATACTGTGGAACATTCTGGGCAAAGCAATAACAGGTGACAAGCAGGTGGCGGGCACTCCATCCGAAAAAATAATAATTTAGATTCTCTTGACATTAACCCCATTTGGTATTTTGAAGGGTGATTGCAATTTGTAAATATGATACTGCTTAAAATGCCACCAGATTAAAAGCTAAAGGCCGGAGTATTGCAGCGTTTCTCAAGTGTACCTCTCTCTACTGTGTTAATATGATAGTATTAACACAAAGAACCCTTGTCCAACCCGCGCCTTTCCCATGCTGAAGAGGCAACCGGCTGACATTTCTATCTGAATATTTATTTACTTGTCCCACTACAGACTCATTGTGCCAGTGTTTAAGTAGCGGTTTGCCTGGTCGTTTCAATGCAAATCAATGCGAACAAATGTGTGCTCTCAGGCTGCACTGCATCAATGTTATGTCTTCCGAGCGTTGTAAGAACACATGGAATAACTACTCCAAATGACTGTGAACAAGTGAATATATGTATCCATCAGTATATATATAATTATTAGCTCTTCCTTTGTTGCTATATTGTTAAAATATATAGATTTCTTCCCTTTTATTAGTGAGGAAATTATGGAAGGTGACAGTGAGAAAGCCATCACCATCAAACCGGACACTTGCTGGTTCAAATCTTAAAGGGCCCATATTTCACTATTTTCTGTTATAATAATGTTTCCTCAAAAACACACCTGCATTGTATTTTGTTTCAGTCACACATGTTTAACACACAAATCCTACACATTTAGGCTGACTTCTCTCAAACAGAAAATACTGTTCCACCTTGTGATGTCAAGTAGTAGTACATGAAGTGCTCCACTGTGTTTTTAAACTTCATACATCTTCACCTGAATCACTAGGATAATTTCAGCCCTGGAATTGCCAATCTCTACTGAACTAAAGGTAAAAGGGAGCTTTTAACTTTAAGACTACTACTTCATGACATCACAAGGTGAAATAGAGCATTCTGAGTTTAGATTTTCTGAGAATTTTTTGTGTAATATAGGACATTTAATGTATAATGTTGTTGTGTCTTTGTTGACACTTCACATTGCATGGCCACTTAGTCACGGTAAAAATTATGTTTCAGACTGGATGGATCTGGTATATAAGTAAATAATAAGAAACAATAAGTTGGTAATTAAACCACAAATAATATTTAAAAAAAAATCATCATAATAAGTATGTTTTATAATAAAAATTGTTGGGAAATGGTCCTGTATAAATGTAATGAAAAATGCATAGTGTAAATAATACATTGCTACACATCCATATTTTGCCACTTGCTTAAAAGTTGTTTTCATAATAGGATACCATATAAAATTAATGGGGCATGGCAAGTTTAAGTTGGAAAATGTTTTATTAGCAACACTAGCATTTCAATTCAGTTATAGGACTGGGAACACAGCATTATATAAAGGCAGAGTTTGCTATATTAAATGGTCTATTTTTGAACACATCTCCATGGTCAAGTTTAAAGTATCTGTTTTAGATATCTGTTTTCAGTGCAGACTTTTTCTTATGTCGTTCCTTGAATGGTAAATGGTGAATTGTCACATTTATATAGTTTTACATCTACCAGTCACCTACACACATATTCATACACCAGTATACATAGACACTAGGGGTTAAGTATCTTGCCTAAGGACACAAGGATTTCACTAACTGGAGCTAGGATCACCAACCTGTGGGCCAGTGACCTCTAGCAGCAACAATGTTTATGTCAGGAGTGGGATTCTAATTGCCAACCTTTGGACAAACTCTACTACTACCTCTCCAAAATCAGAAGTAAGTTTCAATTACTTTCTAGTTTTACAGTGATTTTTCATTCATTTCAATCCCTTTTCCCTGATGAGTTGTGGGTAGTTCACTGTACAGCCACTAGAGGGAGGTAGGTCCATACTGAGTCGGCTCAAATTGAAGGAGCACTTTGTTTCTCTTGTTCTAACATGATACAATACTAAACACTAATGAGAGCAGAAAGGATGTGTATAGTTAAAACTAATATGAACTATATCAAAATGTCTTTCGTAAATGCTCCTTTTATTCCAGATCCAGTTGAACAAGCCTCAGGAGCAGCCCTTTGGGACAAGTGGAACAAAATGAAAGACTTGTAGTTACAAAAGTTGTCTATGGTAAAACCTGATCTGGTTGACTGCTTATCAAGTCAAATATTTTCAATTCTCTATTGATGATTGCATATTGATCATGATTTAGGATACAGTTTTACCAGCTCTTACTGGATGTAGTTTATGCAATGGACAGAGCAGAGTTGCTATTCAGCTCTGTAATTAGAATAGTTTGCACAAATGCCAATCCAGTTTAGAACCAGAAGGAAGTAAAATATAAATATTTCTTGCTTCAACTGGTGACCAGTTCGTCATATGAGTCATAACATTTTTTTCTATAACTAATCCTGCTTAAAATGTTATTGATGGATAATGGTGACAGAGGTTTCATAAAGAGATGAGGCTTTTCTAAACAACACATATTAACTCCTACTGCCAGACTGTGACAATATTAGGCTAGGGATGCTAAACTATTAAGAAGAATAAGACTATATACAGTTACAGAATGACATTTTCTTGATCCACCAACTTTTGTGGTGAAAGGTCTGATATTATCAGACTTTTCTATCTCCATGGAGAGAAACAGATGATACCAACAAATCCAGTTATAGGTTAGATTATTAACACCAAATTACAGTCACAGAAAATGGGCTAAACATTGCTTTCAGTTTAAGAATTCTATTAAAATAGTAGCCTAGTTCAACATCCATCTTACTGGACCTAGCGAACTAGATGCCAAAACATTTTGATGGTTAGGACATGTATGTTGATAATAATATAATAATAAGCCTACTATGAAGCCGGTAGGATAATGTGTAATACTGCAGTAAAGGAGCGCTAGACTCACTCCCTGTGGCTCGGATCAGCTCAGGTCGAGTGTCCGGTGCGCAGCTGACCAGTGCGTAGCGGAAGTGAGGGGCCCAGGGTACAGAGTCCCCGGGCCACTGCTCGTGTCCAATGGGGAGCGAGAATAAACCCACTCTTACAAAACGTAGGAGCACCAAGTTACAAAGAACACATGTGATCTGCGCAGGAAACGGGGCGTTTGGGCTTTCAAAGTTACAGATTAAAAGAGTCAACAAAAATCTAGTCTTTGTATTTAGTATTAAAAAGACAATTTACTAATATGTCACTTTTGTAGTGGTTAAGCACCATGCGCCAAACGCACAATCCGCAGCAAACTGTGTTGGATCATTGTCTAAATTATGTTAAATAGTCTAATAAAGCTTGAACTCAATATTCCAATTAACTATAAGACTCTATCACGTTCCCTTTTATAATCTACTGCATCTTGTCTTTTTTAATTTCACCAAAAAACATCGGATTTTATGGTGCCAGCAACAGCCTATTCTAACAATGTAATGGCCTAATTAATAGAGAGAATATCTGATCAACAAAAATATAATCACTGCTGGGTTTCCAAATACACGGAGCCAAATTTATGGTTGCTCAGTTTACACAGTGTCCACAGAAAGTCCAGCTCCATCATTCATTTTCCATCCTGCTTTTATTGCGAAAGCGCCCGCCGGAAGTATCCGTGTTGCCTCATGTGAGTCCATGGTTAGTGCGGAGAGCTGGAGGCGGCGCACCGTCAGACAGTGAAAGTGAAGGCGGAGACCAGCCCTGCGCCCAAAACTCTGCCTCTTCTGGATCACGTTCAACTCCACTGAACAATCCCAAAACCATCCAAAAACTCAGCCTGGAAGAGGAAGGAAGACCAGAAAAAAGAGAAAAAAAAACGCGAGGTGCTCCTAACTTCTTTTCGTCGCCATCTGCCAAGAATTGTCTTCCGGTGTTGACTTTTTTGCAAGCACTGCAAGAGAAACCCCTCCAAAGCACAAAGTTGAACGTGAGAAATGTGAAGCTACCGGCTTGTGTGTTTCAGCCAGGCTCCGGGATTCCCTAATAATCCATGCAGTACAGTGCAATGGTACGTGAACATGGGCTACTGTTGTTTTCAATGCTGTTATAACGCTGTTTATGTCTTAAATTATATGCTCCTGTCCTAGTGTACCACTGCTGAAGTGGTTTAACTTAAAGCGGACCACAACACGCACACGGTCGGGCCAAGTCTGTAGTGAACTTGGCTCGTGTTCCTCAGTAGCCTCTGTGAACATTCCCATTCCCCCATAATTTGGCACTGTCCGCGCTGTGCGCGCGTGTAGCGCAGGAATGAAGGAGCAACGCTGACGAAGAGCTCCACTTTTTAAAACTCATGTTAAATACTCCAGTTTATAAGTACATCATCTTAATTAAGAATTTTTTTTTTTTTTACAGTCACAGTACTTTATTTGTAGTAAATTCCAAAGCATTTATATCCTAGGTTCATAAAATCATAAATAAATTAATAATGTCCCCAAATAAAATGTCAAACTCATAACTTATTTTTAACTTATAACTTTGCTGCTTTATTGCCGTTTTAAATGTCACTATTATAACCATTTTGTTATTGTGAAAGTCATTCTTAAGTTTATCCATTGCCATGAGCGGGGTCAAACTGGGCAAAAGGAGTTTGTTGACTCTGCAAAAGCAAACTGCCAAAGCGTCCAGGAAAACTGTATTCTGATAAATTATCACTGAAGGAGGATTGTCCAAGTCTAATTGTCGTCAGAAGTGAATGAATAGCGTGTTTCAGCAGTGGAGAAGGCACAGGACAGTGCATAGGGCTTATATGTGTGTGTACTGAGCAGCGGCAGGAGGAGGAGTGTGACTGTGTAATTACGTGGGTGAAAAAAAAAAGAAAAGTTGGGTCTGATTTGCTGGAATCGCGCAGGAGCGAAGGTGCACCGGTTGACTTCATATCAACTTAGTCTAAAGAAGGGCTGAACATCAGAGACTCGGCGCCCTCTGAAGCTATTCACCATGCTTTTATGAACGACGTATCACTCCACGGAGACGCGCTACGAGCCCATACGTAACACAGGAGTACGCAGCGTTTGCACCGGCCACCACGAGCAGTTGTACATCTGCAAGTGCTTACACTGTGTTCCCTGTCCTCTGCTTTATTTCTCCCTTCTCTGCGGAGACGACAATCTTTGGATCTCGGAAAACTCACGGATGTTCTTGGATACCCCTTTTGCTCCTCGCTGTTTTACGCGGATAGCTCCATAGTCTTGAACGGTGCACTCTGGTCCTGGAATGGCGCGATAAAGTGATCAGGGAGAAATCAATTGAAGAAGTAATTTACCGTCCCTGACCGTAGCCGCCTCATCATGTATTCTCCTATTTGTCTTACTCAGGTATTACTGCCTTTTATTATTATTATAATTATTGATATTAGCTCAATTTACAGGGCTCTCGGTTCGTTTATTGTTTTTGTGTGTGCGTATTTTTTTTACCCTTTTAGATTTAAATTATTTGAACACGTCTCAAATGAATATAATCAGTGTAGCTAATTTGAATTACTTTTTTGCACTAAAGTTGCAGTTTTGGGTCATTTATCACACACTCTAAAATGCAGTCAATGGTTACAATTCTTTTCAAAGTCTTCCAACTTTAGTGAACGTGCGTAAGGTGTGTAGGTATGCACGTTCACACACTGCCCTGACCGCCGCGTCCCTCGTGTTTGTGTATCGTTTCATTTTGGAGTAACAAACGCTGTAGTTGAAGATAACACAACTTTCACCATGAAAGATTATACAAACTATAAGCGGTTTTGCATGGTTTGAACTGTAGATTATCGGTGGCTGTTTTGGCTGGCTCAGTTTTACTGTTTATATTTTACTTGGCATATGTCAGTGATTGACTGAGATGTGGTTAGTTTCTACTTTGGAGGATTGTTCAGACTGTGTGTAATGATTTCATTGTTTGGCTTTTAGATAGTGTGAAAAATAGGCTTTATTAATTTGTTCATTTGTATGCTATATCTGTCCTTGATAATAAAAAGTATAAGTAAAATAATTTAAATGAATTAGTAAATATTTTAAATTGACCAGCTATTAATTCTTAGCTGAAACTGAAAGAGTGAACACAGTGGGTTTGCATTAAAATTATCTAGTGTTAAAAGCAATTAGGGAGAGATTTACAGCAATTTATGTGTTCAGAAAGTTTTGTGAAAAGTAATAAAATTATGTAATATTTAAATTTTAAATCTTACTTTAAAAACTGCTTGTAGGGTGAATTACAGAGTTTTGTTTTTTTAAATTCCATTTGGCAGCGTAGTTAAAGTTAGTGGAGCTCAAGCAAAGCCAAAGTGTGGCTGGTGTGGAGCGTCAGGCAGAGATAGGGAGTGGATGTGTGTGGTTTCCTGCCTCTGACCAAGAACAATATCTGGTCAAACTCCTGTAAATACTGAGCCAAAAGTGCTTCTTTGTATTTATTAAATGATGTTTTAATGAGCAAAAAAAACTGTTTGCTTCCACTTCTCGCATGTGGCTTCTCTAATTTTGGTCAACTTATCAAGATCCCTGCATTTTACATTGACTGAAAACAAGAAAGTGTTTAATGTGAATTATTTCATTTTATATTTAAGCAAATTATGTGAACCCCTAAAGGCCAGTGAAATGTTGGCCTGCTGGATGTAAGTAAATTACAATTTCAAAAATGAATGGACAGGTGTGTGTACCTTGTGAAAATACACAGTATTGTATAGCTCACAATATATTTGTTGCTAAAATAAAACATTCATTAAAATGGAAAAAAAGATAAATATTGCTGAATTAATAGCAAAGTTGTAAATGTATTTTTACTGAATACACTGCTTGGAAGAGGCCGTAATGTTGTAAAATTACATACAGTAAAATTTAAAATAATAAACCAGAACATAGGATTTCATCTAATCTTTGGTAATTTTGCTATAATTTAAACCAGGCGCACAGTGGAAAAGTAAAGCCCAGGTCTAAGGACGTTAATGAACGCGAGCTGTAGGAATGAAGAGGAGCCAGTTCTCTCTCGGATTAACCTCAAACCTTTAAATGATTTGACACAAGCCTCTAATTGAGTCCTAACGTAACCTTTGGAAATTCCTTTCTTATTTTTCACCTCAGACGCCTCCACTCGGATTTGTTTTATTGTGTTTTAATCTGAAAGCTGCTTTGTGCACCTAATGCATGAGCCAGTTAATAGCAATCAACTTCCTATTTTTGTGTCCACTTCCAGATTATCTTGTGTCTTGAATGTGGGATAAGTAGAAGTTGGAATGTGGAGTTTGATAAGAGTGCTCGGTGTGTGAGGGGCGCATGCTCTCTGTAGCAGCTCACAGCGCCGAGCTGTGCGTTCACTCAGCGCTCTGCCATTGTACTGGAGCAGCTGATAGAAATACTGGAATTTCCTTGTCATAGCTTCAGCGCCGGACTTTCTGGGGTGAAATGGTAAATTGTGAATTTACTGGTGATACGTAAAAAGAAGTAATCAAATGATCTATTGAAAAGAAAAATAAATATTATTGACTATAATTATAATTTACAAAGTCCCTGACTCTTTGATTGTGATTTCCATTAATTGTGCCCTGTTTTTTCCTCTTTGTCTGTTCTCTGTTTCAGGATGAATTTCATCCCTTCATTGAGGCCCTTCTCCCTCATGTTCGTGCCATTGCCTACACATGGTTCAACCTCCAGGCCAGAAAACGCAAGTACTTCAAGAAGCACGAGAAGCGGATGTCCAAGGATGAGGAGCGCGCGGTGAAGGATGAGCTCCTGTGTGAGAAGCCTGAGGTGAAACAGAAGTGGGCGTCCCGGCTGCTGGCCAAGCTGCGAAAGGACATTCGGCAGGAGTACCGCGAGGACTTTGTCCTCAGTGTGACGGGGAAGAAAGGCCCGTGCTGCGTGCTCTCCAACCCCGACCAGAAGGGCAAGATCCGCCGCATCGACTGCCTCCGCCAGGCCGACAAAGTGTGGCGTCTGGACCTGGTGATGGTCATCCTCTTCAAAGGCATCCCTCTGGAAAGTACAGACGGAGAGCGCCTGGTCAAATCCCCCCATTGCACCAACCCAGCACTTTGTGTCCAGCCGCACCACATCACAGTATCGGTCAAAGAGCTGGACTTGTTCCTGGCATACTATGTGCAGGACCAAGGTAGGTCCGGCCTGTTTGTTTTACTGTGAGAGAGAGAGTGTGAGAGAGGCTTGGCAAGGTCAAGGGTTACATGTGTTACTTTTTGGCAGCGCCGCAAACGCTGGCCAAGAACACAAGTGCGGTCGCCAGACAAATAAACAAGGAATGGATGAGTCTTCTGACAATCACAAAACCTGCAAATCATGCTTTATATCCTATAATATACAGATGAAAATATATCATATGAGCCGTAACCTTAATGTTATATTGTAATAGAATTAATAATTGTAATAATATATAAAATCATACACACTCCAGAGATTCAAGCGGAGTAAGGGTCTATCAACTGAATGTTGCAGAAACAAGTTAAATATCTCCTGCACCATGTTTTGTAAACATAAAAATAGATTTCAGATGAAAGATTCAAATGAAAGAATAGTACACTTATTTTTAGACCATTAATAAAAACATTTTTACTGATTGTTGGAAGTCTCAATGAGCTGTCAGAAATAATTATTAGTAGTTAAAAAAGCAGGTTATATTCATTTTGTTTAAAAAAAAAAGTTTTATCATTGTGTCATGTATTTCTATTTTAAATTCATAGAAATATTTTGTTGGTCATTGAAACTGAAATTCACACTGTCCATACTACGCTTCAAATTCTGCTGCGGTATATAGGCCACAGAAGATCTTTTACACAGATTCAGGCAGTTTCAAATGTCGATATATAGCACTGAAATTCTCAAATGTCTCATACATTGAAGCACGTGGGAACCACCACCACCAATATTTTGGGAAAAGGCGTTGTATGGCTAGCTCATTACCATGAAAGCCTGGGCGCCATTTTGTGTGATAAGTGCCAGGGAAAGCAGAAGGCACAGCACACAGACAATAATGGTTGCCACTGGCACCGGGCTTGGCATCAGAGCTTCTTTTGTGTCTTTTGTGGATGCCACCGTTTTCTGCTTTGCATCCGTTGCATTCTCATCTGTTCAGTGCTAACTAGATTTCTCTTTTTAAAATAAAAATTATACATTAGTGGGTTTGCTTCACATGTGCTGACTGTGGCAGCTGTTCCTTTAGAAAAATTGCTCTGTTGTGATAAACTAAAGTATAAAGTCATTAATAATGTAAAATGCAGAAGTCCATTATTTAGAATAAAGTGTAAATCTCCTGTTCGCAACTACACAAATAAATTCATTCTGATCCAGCGTTACATTACGGATTAGAGTGATTACTCTTCGCGTCCACAAAATTTCTGCCGCCAGAAACTTTGGCAAAAAAGAAAATAGCATTCCTTCACTGGATCACAGACACAGGCATGCTTTTCTTCGGTTTCGTTTTTGCATCTTTTTCTTTTCTTAGTTACCAAGCAGTGCCCGTCTCGAGACAATGCAGCCATATTGTGGTAGCGTGCGGCGCGCCGCCATTTTGTTTTGCACTGTGCCAGGGAGGCAGGCGAATCACCAGTAATGGTTGTTAGAGGTTTGGAGGTTGGCATCAAACCCTCTTTGTCTGCTTGCAGCATGCCTTTGATTCGTTGGTTGGCATCCGCAATGCAGTGGGCACATTGGAAAGTTTTTTGACAGTGGCAGAATGGAAGCCGATGCCTTTGTTCTGCTGCAACTGAACGAAACAAACAAACATACAATCAAACACAAAGAAAGTAGCGACCGGCTTTGGCTCATGCCGAATGTGAAGTTGGTGCAAAGCGCTAAAATGGTCCGCTCTGAGCTTTTAATATTGTACTCTCCCAAGTCTGTGCTGGCAGCCCAACAGTTCCACACTGTTAGGTAATTGAGTAACAAAAAGTAAGGAGCCGCTGCTATTTACAACAGGACTCTTTCTTATTTTTGCTCAAATCAATAAGTTCAGAGTGTATTTGTTTGAGATTCTGGCGGGTAGCTGCTCAAAAAGGTCGTGCGGTTGGCAGTGAGAGCTGTGTGAGAATGGAGAGGGCACTCAGCCCCTTGTTGTGGGGCAGGGCGTGTTGAGCCCGGCGGAGCGGCAGCCCCATGTGCATGCCCAGATGAATGCCCGCTGGGACAGGGCCGGGGGCAGAAGTGGGGGTTGTGCCATCCATTGTGCCAACTGGCAGCTTGTGTTCAATACAGACCCTGCTCTCTCACTTGGCCGTTGTGGTTGCTGACACTTTTTTGAAATCAAGTGATACCAAAATTAAGAACAAGAATGGCGTTTGTATTTCTTTTCCGAAACCTTCTTCTCTCCACCTGGATTCATATTCCAGTTTGACGAGCTGGTGGAACCCGGCATGTGGATAACTGTCATGTTAGGGCACGTTTCAGGTTGTTAGCTTCTGCAGTTCTGCAGCACCAGATTTGTTTATTTTTCTTCTTAACAGTTAGGGCTTTGTTTAGATATTTTTAGTAGATAACGAAAAAAGATGTGACTCATTATTGATCATTTTACTTTCACACAAAACACAAGGAGTTAGTTCAGTGCACTCTTGTACTTAAACTGGGTGATAAAAATATCAGGGGACTTTTCCAGTGGTTGAACGCAGTGATGAGAATAGCTGGGGTTATCCTCTGCTAGTATAGAAGTCAAGGTCAAGCAGCTTTCCCATTACTCTCAGGCTTAAAGTTAACACGGCCATAAAACATCATTATCCGGACTCCCCCTACATCCCCTGACGTAACTCTTTTCACACCGTCATGATAGTTTGTAGAAATGGATGGATTACCTCCCCAATTCATGCTCCCCTTGTTAACGGACACCCTGTTTTACGAGCGCCAGACTTAACCTTTGATCCCCGGGTCGCGACCTTTGCCGAGAGATGTGGCAGGGTGTCCTCTGAAGTTTAATTGAGCAAAGCAGATCAGTGGAAACAGGCCTGGGGCACGTGCAGGAGGAGGTGGTGCCTAAAGGGGGGTGGTGGGGCAGGATCATAAGCCCCCCTTGTTGACCTTGTCAGCGGAGGTCAGACCACGGCAGTCGCGGAGCACCGGTGGTCTCCTGGCAACTGTTTGCCTCCAGTCGTTCTGCTTGAGCTGGTGGTCCCCTGGTTCAGTGACCTCTTCTGAACCTTCAAGACACTATAGGCTTTGGCTGATCAATAGTTCATTCAATATACACATTATATTGGCTAAAACAACTGTATAAAATTGTGTAAGCATGTATGAAATCAGAATTACTTTTTTCATTATGTGCTGTAAATGATCATTTCTTAAACTATATGGAACTGAAAGCTTATTTGGGAGAATTGTAGATATATGTAAAATAAAAAATAAATAAATACTCTGAACTTAAGTCAAATTAAATCAAGACTTAATTAGATCTAAATAAAAACTTCCTCTGAATAACAAGAAGATAGGTGTAATCCAAGATATTCAAGATCACTTAATTGCCCAGTGTTTCAATTTTAATATTTAGACCCAGAAATCTTCAGATAAAGAGGTATTTCCGAAGCCTTAGCTGCCGAAATGTTCCTACCACTGCAAGTCTGCGAGTCTTTCCACTTTTAATATTTAGCCCCATAAAATATATTTTTACATACATACATACATACATACATTCTGTTTTCTGAAATTTTGTTTGCTGAAATGAAGCAGTTAAAGTATGTGAAACCTAAAGCTTTTCCTGTCTTCAGTCTTGTCTGTTGCTTAGCTTGCTGTGTGGGGCCTTACTTTCCGGCCGGCTGCCTGGGGGCTGTGGTCAGTGCGGAGGTCACAGTGGTGGTCTAGTGACGAAGCATAACATCCATCTCCTGCGATCTCCTTATCCTCCTCAGCCATCACAGATCACACACAGACATACTCCCCTTCACTCTCTTACTCTGCCTTGACTTTTCCATGTGCACTAGGCTGGGAAAACTTACAAATCCACTTTCCTTGATATTAAAAACATCATTGAACAGCATAGTAATGATACGAATCATTTCGATTTTTCCAAAAATTGCAAAACTCATGAAATCTGAGACTAAAGCGGAAATCAAAAGCTTATCCCTACTCAAGTCTAAAATGGTAAAATATCAAATCATATAAGTAGGACCAAACCAGTAACCTCATCATTACTCAAACATATTTATGATTTTCAACAGTTATCTCATAAAACAAGATACAAGACTTCTGACAAATCAGGAATCAAAAGCTGATTCAGCTCATGTCTAAAATTTAACTGTACCAGTCTCAAGAACAAAATACAGACTAAATCAGAACAAAATCAGGACACAATCAGCCATAACCACCTCCTACAGCAGGACTAAACTAGATGAAAAGCAAATAGACACCATGGCATACCAGAAATATAGCATTTAAAAACCAGGACTAAACCATGACTAAATAAGTACTGAAAAAGAAACTAAACTACACCTCGTTGTAACTAATGAAGCATCACGCTCATCTTTCTATGTGGGGTTTTCCGGCCTTTAGTCCCTTATCCTCCTCTGCCATCAGGAATCACCCCGCGGCACGCTGCCTGGACTCTCTCTCACTTTCCCTCTCCTTCCCTCTGTTTCTCTCTCTCTCTCTCTCTCTTCTCTTTTCTTTTTCCTGGCTTTCCCTCAAGTACGAGCCTCCTACCATGACAGCTGTCCCAGGGTGAAGCACTTGGCCGGAGAAGGACCAACTGGGCTAAAGCCAGCAACAAAACTTACACACGCTACTCTACTGTTTTCCTCATTATCTATCTAATTACATTACATAACCCCAGATACATGTTTTATTTTATTTTATTGGTCCGTTTCTTGTCTTCAGATTTTGCTGAAATAAAACCATTTGGGAAAAATCTCTAAAGCAGGATTTTTGGAGTGATACAGAAAAAGTCTTCATTGTGAACTGTACAACCTCATGCTTAGCTCCTATCTGGACTTCCTTATTAGTATGCAATAGAGCCTGCGGTGTCTGGCTACCTCTCTCCCAGAGCCATAACCTATCGAACACATTCTCTCTCTCTAATCCACTTAGAACTCCCTCCCAGCTACACCGCTTTGCCTTATTGATTTCCGCTTCCCACTAAATGTCTTCCCGATCTCTTTCTCTCTCTTAACCCGCAAGCTATTT